GAAAATATACTTTCAACGTCGCTGTTTAACGTCGGTTACATCTTAGCCGACGTTGAACATGATTTCAACGTCGGTTGGTCAAAAACCGACGTCGAAAGTCGAATTTTGACACATTCTACGTCGTTTTAGCATGAACGACGTGGAAAATTGGGCTTTCAACGTCGGTTAAGCCTTTACCCGATGTTGAAAACCATGCTGAACTCATTATGCCCGATCAGAATACAAATATGACCGATCAGAATCAAATGTGATCGATCAGATATTATTTATGATCGATCAGAAGTTCTTCAATCGATTAAAAACACGTTTCAATCGATTAAAATGTCTTAAAGGATCAGAATTACGTGGGAAGTAGGCTTTCAACGTCGGTTATGCCGTCACCCGACGTTGAAAACCCTTCTGAACTCATTATGACCGATCAGAATACAAATATGACCGATCAGAATCAAATGTGATCGATCAGATTTTATTTATGATCGATCAGAAATTTTTCAATCGATTAAAAACACGTTTCAATCGATTAAAATGTCTTAAAGGGTCAGAATTACGTGGAATGTAGGCTTTCAACGTCGGTTATGCCTTCACCCGACGTTGAAAACCCTTCTGAACTCATTATGACCGATCAGAATACATATATGACCGATCATAATCGAAGTGCAGATGTGATAGCGGTTCCTTCTAAATCGCTCTTCAAAGTGTGAATATAATAGCGGTTTACTGTGAAACTGCTATCTTAAGTCAATTATTTCAAAATATAATCGATCATTGGGAATTTTAATCGATCATAACGATTAAAAGTGCAGATATGATTACTAGCATAAGTGATGCCTTCCCAAGGCAAGGTCTGGTCTCTTCGGGACCCTTAAACTCGAGGGTTGGATAAGTAAATCTGGCCAAAAGAATCACTATATTTCGATTGAAGCTCTGCCGCGGTGACCCAATTCTCATATACGGATAAGCGATAATGCCCTTTCGACACGAGCTGCGTCCTCACGAATGCCAAACTTCGTAGCTCAGCTCATCCGGAATGACCAAGCTCCAGGGAGGTTTTATTGATGACATGGCGGGCTCCAAGCTACACCCTTCTCTGCTACCAAATCATAGATCTTCCAGAGAAGACAAAAGCGAATAGACCGTTCTCTGCCCTCCCTGCTCTTCAAAGTGTGAATATAATAGCGGTTTACTGTGGAACCGCTATCTAAAATCAATTATTTGAAAATATAATCGATTATTGGAAAATTTAATCGATCATAACGGAGATATGATAGCGGTTCCTCCTCAACCGCTCTTCAAAGTTAGCATATAATAGCAGTTAACTGTGGAACCGCTATGTTAAGTAAAAAATAATCGATTATTTGGGCAATTTAATCGATCATAATGATTAATATGATAGCGGTTCCTCCTAAACCGCTCTTCAAAGTGAGAATATAATAGCGGTTTAGTGTAGAACCGCTATCTAAAGGTCTTTCAACGTCGGGTGTTATTATAAACGACGTGGAAAACCCATATACATGCATGCATCTCTAACATTTTTGTATCTCCCCTGCATCTCCAACATTTTTGTATCTCCCCTTTCTCTCGAGCATCGCGGCCACCACCTAGCACATTTTTGTATCTCCCCTGCATCTCTAACATTTTTGTATCTCCCCTTACTCTCGAGCATCGCGGCCACCACCTAGCACCCTCATTTGGACGCCAGCCGCACTGCAGCCTCGACCTACACCCTACCGTAGCCTCCACCTCCACCCCACCGCACCCTCCAGCCCACCGCGACGCTAGTCGCCCAACCTCCACCCCCACCGCAGCCTCCGCCCGCACTGCATTGTCCACCTCTAGCCCACCACAGCCTCGACCCTAACGGCACACTGCATCCTCCACCTCCACCCCACTGCGGCGTCGACCCTAACACTCGCTCTCTTTCTCCGTGGTTCGCACTTTCATTCGCTGCCTTAACCCACAGGTACGATGTTCTTGCACTTATATTTGTTGGGCAAAAAGTTTAAGTAATAAAATTTTACTTACTACAATTCATAGGTAGAGATTCTTAGTCATGTTATTGTTGGCCGTTAACTGTTGCTTTAATTGTTTATACATTTTGTCCCCATAAAATAGTGATTAGCTGTAAGTTTCAGCTCATTCCAGTCAAGTGAAGACAAATAATGATACAGTTTTAAAATTAAGATGAATATAGTTTTTTTCAATGTATTGATGATGTGTACAATTATACTTGGATCGCTTGAATATGCCCAAGGGGCTTTTTATTGGCGAGTTCATCTGTGTCATTTAAAATTGTTGCCAAAAAACAAAGGAAACTCTGTCGGATTTTGGTTAGAAATTAAGCATGAAGTGTGAATTATGGAAACTACGTATAACATGGAAACTACATATAACAATGTAGTTATATAAGTGATGGTACGTAGTAACAATGTAGTTTTATTGGTTTCTCATTTGTAGAATCCAATTCCAAAATGGATCGAAGTTGGGTAAATGCAAGTCGTATTTCACAAGAGTATGAGAATGGAGTTGAAGAATTTTTGCGATTTGCCGAACACAATGGCACCAAGGTTAATGGAAAATTGTATTGTCCACGCGTTAACTGCGTTAATGGGAGAGTACACACACTAGAGACAATACGGGAACATCTTTTATGTGATGGGATAATGAAGAATTATATGGTATGGACATGGCATGGTGAAGTGATTGATACACCAATAGTAACACAAGTTGAGGAAGAGGAGGACATGACAATGGAAGATCGAATAGAAGACATGATTCGTGATGTAGGTCAAGAGAATTTTCTGCAAGCACATGCTGCTGTCTATGATAAATTGAAGATAGATTCAGAGATACCTTTGTATGCTGGATGTACAACATTCACGCGATTGTCAGCTGTATTGAGATTGGTCAATTTGAAGGCCAAATTTGGTTGGAGTGACAAAAGTTTCACTGAGTTACTAGAAGTTTTGAAAGATATGCTCCCAAGCGATAACACCTTGCCTGATGGTATGTATGAAGCCAAAAAAATACTTTGTCCAATGGGTTTAGAGTATAAAAAGATACATGCTTGCCCTAATGATTGTGTATTATACAGAAAAGAGTTTGAAAGCCTACATGAGTGTCCAAGATGTGGTGTATCGCGTTACAAATTGAAAGACAAGGATGATAATAGCGAATATATTGATAGAAAGAGACCTCCTACAAAAGTTATATGGTATCTTCCAATTATTCCAAGATTGAAGCGATTGTTTGCCAATGGAGAAGATGCCAAGAATATGATATGGCATTCATTATATCTTAATTGTTTTGTTACTTATAATAATTTAAACAATTATTAATTGTTTTGTTACTTAATTGTTTCATTATATCTTGTATTGCACAGTGCATTTAAGGTTTGCAATACAATTGATGGAGTACACACAAGCAAAAGCACGACTCAGATTGGATTTTTGTTAATGTAAGTCATTTTATATTTATGTATTATATCATTCATTTTATATGTCAAATTAATATATTATTTTTTGTAGTGTAATAGGCAACCAGGATCTTATGAGTGCGGATATTATGTTATGCACTGGATGTGGCTGATTGTTGTTAGCAAGATTGAGGATACATGGAATCAGGTTTGCTTAAATTTAGTATTCAATAAAAGACCCAGTATTGTGTCATTGGATACTCTGTTAAATTATCTTTTTTCTTGTAACAGGTATTTTCAGACAGGGAAGCATTGCCCATAGAGACAATTGACGATATTAGAAACACATGGGCCGATAAGTTTGTTAAAGTTAGAAGTAGGCAAGTTTAGTTATTAATTTAGTACTTAGTTTAGTAGTTAGTTTAATAGTTAGTTTAGTAGTTAGTTTAGTTACTTTACTAGTTAGTTTACTAGATAGTTCATTAGTTAGATTAGTAGTAAGTGTATTCGGTAGATAAGTAGTTGGATACACAATAATTTTGGATACAATTTTATTTTTGGATGCACATTCAATTGTTTATATCTTGTACATTGTCTGCCTGGGTTGTATAAAAAATTTGCAGGTATGTATATATACAAACATTGGGTACCCTAGTATAAACAAATCGTCCATTTAAAAAAAAAAATAGACTTTCTACGTCGGTTCATACCATAACCGACGTAGTAAACCCATACTCGCTTGAGCGACGAGTGTTCTCGCTTGAGCGACGAAAGCTTCAAACAAAGGGGACTCTCGGGTTCCAACTCGCTTGAGCGAAGAGTGTACTCGCTTAAGCGACAAAAGCTTCAAACAAAGGGGACTCTCGGGTTCCATCTCGCTTGAGCGACGAGTGTACTCGCTTAAGCGACGAAAGATTCAAAAAAAGGGTATCCTCGGTTCTATTTCGCTTGAGCGACGAGTGTACTCGCTTGAGCGACGAGTGCTTCAAACAAGGGGACTCTCGGTTCTATTTCGCTTGAGCGACGACTGTACTCGCTTGAGCGACGAGTGTTCACTTTCAACGTCGGGTATGAATAACCGACGTTGAAAGCCTAAACTATCAACGTCGGGTATAAATAACCGACGTTGAAAGTTTATACTTTCAACGTCGCCTCTTACAACGTCGGTTGTATAACCGATGTTGAAAGCCTTATTTAACCGACGTTGAAATGCATATCTGTAGCAGTGATCTAAATTGATGTTATATGTGGTTAAATGATTGATGAAGGTAATATATATAAGAATAAATGATAAAAATTGACTTTGACATTCATTTGGGAACCAAGGTTATAAAGCTTTGAGAAAAATATTTATATTTGAAAGAAAAAAAAGAGTTTTTATTTCTGAACATTAACTTAGAAAAATGCGGTTGATGACATGTGTTAACTTATGTGCAAATTTTTAAGTTGACAAAACTAAAATGTAATTTGTGAAGAGAAGGAACAATAAAGTCACCAAACTAATTATTATTACATGGGAGAAGAATGGGAGTGAACTATACGTGTAGTGGAATATCCTAATCACCATATATGAATTGCCACGTGTACTTTACGTCCCATCAAAATCACCGTCATCATCACTGTAACCGTTGATTTCACCGTCCCTTTGATAGTCGGTCACGGTCTTTATTGACCACCATTTTAGATTTTCAATTTCTTTCTTGTCTATCCACGTTTTCATGATTTTCATTTCACCGTTTATTATTAACTATAATAATATTATTTGATCAATATACTAAAATTTTTAAAAATATATATTTAGAAAAATAGAAATTGTCATTTTAAAAAATTGAGAACGAAAACAGTGTGTTGATGGGAGGGAATAATTGAAGATGACTGGTAATGTATGATATGGGAGAAAATTTCCATTTAAATCCCACAGGTGGTGAGAGTGTTTTGAAAGGTGGTTTGGATAATTTTGCATTGGCACGAGTTTCATATGTTTTATTTATTTATCTTCTAAGATTCAATAGAAAAGAAGGAAAGAAATTGCAACACGGAATAGAATATAGCTTCTTTCATGCATCATCATCATCATCAGTATTGACTGGGACAACAAAAAATTAATTTTTTTTACTTCGGTTGTTTCCCTCGTGTCTTCTCGGGTTCTTTCTTGTTTAGTCTATTTCATGTTGGTTCCTACAAGGTTGAATCTGAATAATGAAACATTTCAGCAGTCTGGAACAAGCAACAGGAATTAATAACATCATCAGATTCACATCACAAGCGTGTGTACGGACAGTTGGAGAAGCAAAAAGTAACAAGATTGATGGAAAATGTTGGAGAAAGCCCTAGGTCCACCCATATGAACTATACTTGCTGTTCAGTACATGCATCATATTACACACAAAGCGTGCACCAGCTGTAGCCCTGTACCGCCACCACCACTAATCAAATCAGATGCTGCCTCTTCTTTCACCCAACCATCACCATTGACCATGGTCCAATACTACACCACAAAACATAAACGTGCACAATATTTTTTCTGGTTCATTATAATTTGTGAATTGCAGCAATTCAAGGATCTGACATGGTCAACTAAGATGTCAGAACAATAGACAGAGAAGCATATAATGTCAGAGATGGGTAAGAGTAGTTGAATTTAATGTTGCACTTAACGTTACAAAGTAGCAATTAGAAAATAGAGGTGGTGCATATTTCTACGGTTAATGTGGTCAAGTAAGTAGTGATGGAAGGGTCCACCATGCCAGTTACTCATCCACTATGCATTGTTTCCCTATCATATATTATTTTATTGACATAACTGAATGCGATGTAATTACATAAAACTCGATTTTCAAGTGGTTTTAATAATTTCTTTTATTACATAAAACTCGTATGTTATAACGTTTATTGTTCACACGGCACATTTTAATTCATCGGGTTAAAACACATGTTAAAACACCTGGGTCTCCATATTTACTGTATAATTAACAGTATAGAGAATAGAGAGAATATATAATATATACAGTGAGCAAAAATATTTTGTAGAAATTTAATTATTTTAAAATAAAATAATATTATCAAAAATGTAGATATATAAATTATTTATCGTTTGTTTGTAAAATTTTATTATTCTTTATTAAATAAAAATAATTATTTTTATTATACTAAATTATGGTGAGAGATCAGAAAGAATATGGAAAAAAAATTATTTTGTTATTACGAGAAAACAAAAATATTTATGATAAGTAAGAAAATAATAAAAAAGAAAATGTGCGATAGAGCATACTGATGAATAAAATAATTTTTTTTTATGTTATAATAAAATAAAAATAAACAATCGTATTTTAAAAAATTATTTATATAACACTGTGGACGCATAAGGGATTGTATATGAAAGAAATAGAAGCTGATAAACACCAAAACCTATAAAAATGGAACATACGAGTTTAAAGCATAAATTACAAAGAAACTCTATATATTGGGATTCAGAAATGAATAGACATTTTGTGGGCTATATCTAATTGAGAAGTTTTTATGGAAAGCCCATAAACTCAATTCATATTGGAGGCCCGGTGGAGGAGGGAAAGTGGGCCTCCAACGATTATGATTTCCTGCAAAATTTTAATTTTATTAATAAATATTAATATATTATTCATAATTTTATTTATTAATTACAAATATGAGCAAAATTTAATTTGACCCACTCCAAAAAAAAAAAAAAATGTTGCCTCCGCTGTCAATATTCATCCTCTCATGAAATTGATAATTTGTAAAATGATGAATCTTGGAATGTCCAGTGAATTTGAAAATACTTCGGATAGATTAATCCAACACATAATGTAATTTTTTATATTTTGGATTAAACAACCTAAAATATACAGAAATTATATTTTTAAAATTTTAAAATAATATATTTTAAATAAATAGATTATTAAATCTAGAAGTGTAATTAAAATTTTTTGAATTACTAATTCTGAAAATTTTCTAAATTAAAATATCTGACATTATGAGTGATAAAATAATTTATAGACATACTGTTTCGATAAATTTTCGAAGAATGTATTTGTAAAGTACCTCTTAACTCTGATTTTATTTATTTGTTTATTTATCTTGTGAATTTATTATTTTATATGAATAAAGTAATTTTATATATTTGTAATGATAATAATTTTAAACAATAATATTAATACTAGTTTTAAATGAGAAACAGTACTAATAGTTATTCTTTTTTTTTCTTTTATCGGATAAGTTATTATAGTTTTTTTAATATGCTTTGTTGCTTTTTTTTCTCTATTTTTTTGGTTATATATTACATTATTTATTACTGATCATAATATTTATTTCCTCTATGTTATGTCAAAGAATTCATTATGAAAAATAGAATTTCCTTTATATATAATATAGATTATTTTATTTATTATTATTATTATTCTAAGTAAAAAAATCTGAATAAATATTTATTTTCATATAATAATGATTATTCTTGATAATAATGATAATGATTTCTATTTATTAATTTATTATAATTTGAAGTTATAATAAAATATATTCTAACATATATCTTTTAAAATATTTATAGATTTTCATTTTGAAGATAGATCAATATTACACCATTAATCAATAAGTAGATTATATAATTTCTTCCGAAAATAGAGTTTTGGAATTAAAATTAGCGAAGAGAATTTAACCGGGCCTTAGATCTTGGGCCTTTTTTTACCAACTTCTTGTAATGGGTTGGGTCTAGACGACGACAAGTATTAATTGAAGGAGAAATTATTATATAGTTTTATAACAACGGTAGTTAACATCTAAAAGCAATTTTTAAAATTCTAAAATATCAAATTAAATTTTGTAGATCACCTAATTTAGAAACGGATCATTATTTTATTTTATTTTATTCAGAATTGATTATATAAAATAGTTGCCGATGTGATTAACGATGTATCTTCGTACAAGTTTAAACCAAAATAATAAATTAACGAATAGTATTTAAAAAATTCAATTATATTTTAAGTTTCTGAATATTTTCACAAATAATTTTTTTAATGAAATATAATTCTTTAAACCTATAAAAAGTAAATTTAACTGTAAAAAATAAGTTTTAGAATTTTATTTTAACTCTCCTAATTTATGTTTAACATATTTCTTAATTTTAAGAAATGAAAATATAATCATCCTAATTTTTAAAATTAAATAATTTTGTTTAAAATTATATATTTCAATATTCCTCCACTTATTATATACAGTACAACAAGCTTTGTTATTAGTTAATTTCATGTCTCTAATATATATTTTTTCTTCCATTTCCATCCTCACTCTTTCTTGAACTTTCTTGTTACTTCTAAAGAGGTTTCAATAATACAAATAACTTTATTTTTGAATATATTATTGTTATTTTGTGTTGATCTGAAATTAAAAAAAAAAAGTTATTGTTGTATGTAATATTAAACAATAAAATAAAATAATATATAAGCAAATGATATTTATAATAGAGACGACAAAATTGAAGTTAAAATATTTTGCAAATACTTGAAAAAAACAATTATAAGACTGCGGAATTTTGGATTCTACAATTTTTTTGTTCAGGTGTGATTGCATAATGTGTCTATTATAGAAGTAGTTTCTTCAAAATAGCAAATAAATTTCAAACCAGAATCAACAGGTAATAAGAAAAGGAACAAGATAATAGGTTTAGATCCACAGGCTAAATAATAATAATAAAATAATTATATATAGGTTCAAGAAATATTAAAGAGTTTAAAATTAAATAATAAATTAAAATTATCGTAGCGAATATTATGTCAAGATATTATCATTGGACTATATATATCTTATTCTTCAATTAAAGAGTTTATATTTTTTACGTTCATAAATTTTATATTATTTATTGTAGTTTATATACATTATTTTTATTTAACTCACCAATATATTTTTAAATATAAAATTGTGACGAATGAAAATTTTAAAATAAATAATATATTAAATATAAAAATTAATTTTAACAATATTATTATCATAACATATATAAAATAAATATTTTATTTTTTTCCTGATTAATTATTTCATTCTTAAACATTAATTTTAAATATGAAGTCAATTATTTTTTGATAAAAATATAAAATATCATCTTTTAAATTTGGAAAATCAAAATAAATAATTTTAAGTTTCTAGACTACAAAGTATTTATAAATTCAATATAAACTGAATCGTAATTTAAAATTTACAAAATCATGAGAAAAATAGAGTTATCTAAGTCAAAAAAAAAAAAACGTTTGGATGAACCATATTCGGCCACGTTTATTCATTTCAAATTTGTGGCTGTGGCATGGTTGTTTTGCCTGACCCATATCTTTATCCGTTTATTCAGATCCTTCGTTTATCTTCTCTACCAAACCTTTGACGTATATATAATTACATATTCTAATATGAAGGGAATATATAATCATATTTTTAAAATAAAATAAAATATTTTTTCATTATTTTGAAATTAACAAATTAAATATATTGATGATTTTAAAGCCCCTTATCTCAGGATTTATTTTAACAATAATCTTAATGTATATGTTTTTGTGATTTTTTATGATTAATACTACATCAATTTTTTTTTTAAATAATTAGAAAGAATTATAGTGAAAATCCACATTTGAGTTTTCTTATCTTCATTTTCCTTTGAAAAAAATTCTGGATGATTTTGTTCTTATTTTTAAAATTTTAATAAAAACATTGAATGACCATAAAAGTTAATTCAATATTCTAATTAGAGTTGATAAAATTGTTATCAGTAATTGCTTAAGAATAAAAAAAATATTTTATTATAAATTTTTTATTTAAATTATTTAAAAATAAAAAAAGTTATTTAAAATAAAAAAATTACTTAAATAAATAATTCTCATCATATTTTAAATAATTTAACCATAATATTCATAATAAAATATTTAATTTTATTTTAAACCATTGTAGTTAAAAATTTGTATTGAAGATGCCCTTAAGTTATTTTCCTATTTTTCATTTTAAATTATAATTAACTTTTGTTAAAATAATGTTATTTTGGTGTTTCTTTAAAGTTATCATTGAATTCTGCTTTTAAATTTCAAAATGGAATAAATAAAAACAAACCTCATGAAAATATTAACAAATCAACTTAAAAAGAGACCATTAGAAAAATCCATTTTAAAATAGTGTTATAAATAATATATATTTTTATATATAAAAGATGAGAGGTGGTATATGAAATTAATATTTATTTAAAAGAAGTGTTACGTGGCTGTTGTGAAGGTGGAGTAGTGTATCAATTATTGGATATAGTAGATGGTGATGACACGACTATATATATATATATATATATCACTTGGTTACCTGCATACCTGTCTTAGTCTTACATAACTGAGGTTCAGCAATGTCAAAAGTTGGTTCAGCTGCTTCTAAAGTGGCGAGCAGCGTGGCTTTGCCTGGCAGTGGAAAAAAGGGAGGAGGTTTCTCAGAGGAGGAAGCATTGAAACACGTGAAGGTCATAACTGAGATAACCTCTCACCCTCCTTCTCAGGATCACACTACTCCTGTCCTTCAGGTACCCCTCGTTCTGTGTCTCTGTAGTTACGATGTTCAAGCTTGGTGATTTGGGAAATTAATGGATGTGCAGTATATCTTGGATGAAAGTGAGAGGATAAAGGAAAATGCCAACGGGGACGTCGAAGTTGAAGTGGAACGCCTCTCTTCTGAGGATGGTGACTCGGTGGCAGTGAAAGTGTCGCCTAAAAATCTATCTCCTCAAGACAATCATATTCTCGTCTCTGCTCATGTTGATACTGTTTTTAGTCAGTGAGTTTTCAATCTATTTCCTCTTTTTATTCATGCACTCCTTATCATTATTGTCATTTGGTAACAAAAATTATTATAAACTTTATATATGATTACTTAATTTTTTTTTATTAAAATTATTAATTATTTTGTATTTTAAATAATTTATTCGTGAATTTATAATAAAATGTTTTATTTTATTTTAAATAATTTTTATTATTAAATAAATAAAAAAATCACTAAAAAATTATTTACAAATAAAAATAAATGTTTTATTATAAGTTTGATATTTGAGATTTTAAAAAATAAAAAAAGTTACTTGAACTTAAAAATAAACAACTCAACTCTAATTTAATTTTCTAAAAAAATTTAGTTAAAATTAAAAATAAATAATTTTAAAAAAATTAAACAACTCAAATATAAAATTTATAATAAAATATTCAAATTTTTTTTAAACAAATTTTTTAATTCTCTTTAATAACTTTCATAACTTTTACTTAAATTTCTTCCCAAATGATATCCTCTCTATAATCATTTTCACAAATTTACTCTCTAGCATTAATTATAATACACAATGACTCTAGAATGATATAATATATAAAAATTAATTATTATATAAAAATAAATATATTATATAAATTATTTATGATAGTATTTAATATTATTAATTATATTTAAATTTTATAAAAGTTTATAATTTTAAAAAAAATTCAATCTGAATTATTTATTTATATTTTAATATTAAATATAATATTAAAATAATTGATTTATTATAAATAAAAAAATTTATATTAATATTCAATATTTTTATATCATATTATATATGATAATTTTATATAATATTTATAATAATAAAACTAGTAAAAAATAAATTTATTTCTTAATTTTTTTATTTTAAAATAATTGTTGTGAGACCATTTTTTTATTTTATTAGCTGATATTTTTACTGTGAATAGAATAAAAAAATTTAAAAATAAATATAATTTTTAAAAGATAAAATTATAAAAAAATAAAACAAAGAACAAAATTTAGAAATATAAAAGGGAATAAATAGTAAAATAAAATATAAAAATATAAAGTTGAAGTAAAAAAAAATGTAAGGAAAAAATTATATATATATATATATATATATATAAAGTTAATTAATTTATATTTACAAATTAATTATTATTTTTAAAATAATAATTATTATATGTAAAAAATTAATAAATTTTTAGTAGAGAGGTTGTGTGCGCTATCCCTCCGTAAATTCATTATTTAAAATACTTACATACAACACATCGTACTTAGGATAATTTTTTTTATATATTTATTCTTTTTCTTTCAGTTTTCTTTTTTTATAATTAAATTTTCATAGATAACTTAATTTGTTTAATTATAATTCAAAATAATTTAAATTATTTTCATGAATTCATTTTCAATAATAATATAATTTAGGTTATATTTAAATAAAAATAATTTGTTTATATATTTTAAATTAAAATAAATATTTTTAAATTTATAAATAAAAATATAATATAATTTAATATTTTTAATAAATAATTAATTTTATTTGTTTATATTTAGTAGATCATTGGTCGATCTCTATTTATAATTTTAAAATATTTTTTATTTCAAAATAATTTAGATATAAAATATATTTTTTATTTAAATTTGGATTAATATATATTATTACTTAAAATAAGATTTTAAATTATATTAACTTATAATTTAAAAAAAAATAGTTTTTTATTTGGAATAATTTTGGTTAAAACATTTAAACAGAAAAATAATATAATAATAAATAAGAAATAAAAATAAAGAAAAATAATAAAATATGATAAATTGCCTAACAACATTTATTTTTAATAATCCTTACTTAGAAATAAAAATAAATATTTTATTACACATCTCACATATTTATTTTAAAATAAAAAAAAATATTTAAAATTAAAATATAATTATTCATATAAAAGATTCTAAATAAATTTTAAATCATTAAAATCTATAATAATATATATAAATATTTTATTATAAATATCATATATTTATTTAAAAAGAAACAATTATTTAAAAATAAAAAATTATTTAAAATTTACAAATAATTATTTATATAAATTTTTTTGAATAAATTTTAAATCATTCAAATCTATAATAACATATTTAAATAATAATATATTTAATTTTATTGTTATGTATTTATTATTTAAAACTTTATATATATATATATATATATATATATATATATATATATATAAATGAGTGTACAAATTTAAATTTATCATTATGATGAGATAAGACAGGTTTAACCTCATAAATGTAAATCCATTTGCCAACGTTTCCATTAACTATCATTTATTGCTTCTGCATGCCCCCATAGTGCACGCCTGTTTCTACTTAAATGTTATCTGGATAAAATATTGTGATTTCATTTTATTTTGTGTTAGTTTTAAAATGATTTAAAATTAAATTAAATTATATACATATAAGTATAAAAAAAATTAATTAACTTATATAAGTTTATTTTATGTTTGTCTTAATTTCCTTATATATATATATATATATATATATATATATATATATATTATAATTTTAATGATTATCGATTATTAAATTTTAAATTGAAAATGAATCTCAATCTATATAAATTTTAAAAAGTTTCACATTTTTTTTAAATATTGACTTTTAATTTTTATTTTATTTTTAAATAGATTCAATTTAAGTAAAATTTTGTTGATTAATTTTTTATTTTTTATTTTATTTTTAGATGAATATAGTTGTGATAAATACAAAAATAATTGATTTTGATTTTTTGTGTTTACTATATATATATATATATATATATATATATATATATATATATATATATTATCCCTCACAATAACTTTTAATAAATAAGCTAATTTTTGTGAGGTTGATTTATAATTAAATTCATACTTTTCCTTTTTCATGTATATAAACTTGACCTCACTCTAGAAGACAGATAGTTATTGATAAGAATATAAATTTACATATATTAGTTGTTATTAATAAAGTTAATAATTACTAAGCAGTATTAGTGGATTTTTGAGAAGGATAATTTGGTAATATTAACAATTACTCAGAGAAGGAGCTGGAGATGATACTTCAAGTGTGGCTGTTATGCTGGAACTTGCCCGAGCAATCTCTCAACCATCTGTTAGCGTCCATAAATCTGTTGTATTCGTGTTCAATGGGGGAGACATGGACGCTCCTAATGCTTCTCACACCTTCCTACCCGAGGTTCTTTCTCCATGCATATCTAACTTCTATTTATTACTTTTCTTTGCTCAAAATTGATTTCTTAAAAACTCATTATGTATCTAATACAGTTTTGTTAATATGCAGAAGTATAGTCAAACCACTCGCTTGGCTATTGATCTGGACAGCATTGGCACCACCGTAAAACCTAATACTTCAGAACTACACTATATCTATCACAATTCATGTTACAAAACTACTGTTATTATGAAGTAGTATCTTTTTGGATAAATTTTAAGTCACAAGACAAGTGTGAGTTTTGAATATTTTCAAGTAGATTAACGGGCTAATCTTAATTGAGAGTTGGGCTGGGTTCGAACGGGCCTGCCCAATTTCCTTGTTTGTTTGTTATTAGGCTGGCGCATCCAAGCATCCTGTTGTACTTATGTCCAAGATTGGTGAGGAAGGAATTGGCGGAGCCCAGGTTTGGAATTATCTGTAATTCCATTAACATTTTTTTTAATTCAATATTTAATTTTTAATTTCTAAAAATAGTTTTAGAAATCAATTAGTTTTAAAACTTCAAATTTTAAAATAAATTAACAAATATTTAATTATTATATTTTCAATATTATTTTAATAAAAAATAAGTTAGATGACGGAAAAATATCAAAAATTAAAATATAAACTTAATAATCTTATGACAATAAAAAATAGTAATTTAATGTAATTATTTGTTTTTATTAATATTCATTTATTTTGAAGTTAGAATTACTCTTCTTCATGTTCTCTATTCATGTGTATTGGACATTATTTAAAATTATATTAATTAAAAAATAAAATTAATTTTGATAAAAAAATCGGAATTTTGTTTTAACTTTTTAGATTAAATTTTTTAAAAATATTTAATTAAATTTGAATTTAATAAAAAGCAGTTTAAAACAAAATTATAGTATATATATATATAATAAAATTAAAATATAAAATAACAATTTTTTTATGAATCAATTAATTTCTTTAAATTATATGAAAATAAATTAAAATTATAAATATCATAATTAATTATATATTATGTTTTTATAATATATTTGTATTAAATAATTATTTTATTATAATATATTTAATAAATTTATAATAAATATATAAAATATTTATTTCAATTAAAATAATAAAAAATCAAATCAAAATATATATTTTTAAAAATTATATTTGATTCCAATGACTGTTCAAATCGTATCGCCACTTAAGCATCATGGACTAATGAAATGAACTTGTAAATGCAGAAACTCTTTCTTGATTTGGAGGTCTTTTCGTCTTGTTTAGGAGGGAAGCTTGGTGGGACAGAGGTCTGGTTATCATCACACTTCACTGTTCATAAACTTTCGATTTTCAGTGTTATGTTATTGATACCATGTAGTTGCCTCAGTTGGATAAATTTTTCTCCCACGGAATCAAAATATTCTAAAATGTAACAATCAGATCATATTTTATTGAAATGCACAAGGGAAGAAGGAGAATACATAATTCAAGATCAAGTTTTTTTTGTTTCTTTTCAGTTTTTTGGTTTTTTAATTTTCACGAAGATAGCTTCTAATTGAAATTATACTGTGCAGGATCTGTTTTCTTTGGGAGCTGTAAAATCTGCAGCAGACTTCGATGTCTTTAAAGCGGCTGGTGGTGTTTCTGACATTGATTTCCAGGATCTAGGTGGAGCAGGAGCTGGATACCATACAATGGTTTGTCTCTTTCTCTGCTTTTTTTAAATGCTCTTTTTTCAATATTAACTTGTTAATAGGTAAAGATTAAGTGTTTTAAGTAATTTTGTTTTACTATTCGATTATAAATTATTATGTATAAAAAATTATTATTTTTTATAATAATTTATTTATAATTTCCGTCAACAATAATTTTTTATGATTGCCAATTAAAAAAATATTTTCTTAACCATTAAAGTAAAAAAAATAAGATAAATAAGGTATTCGTGTAGGGTGAGGCTATTTTTACTTAGTTTATGTTATTTTTACATAGTTTGTTTTCACTTTTAATTGGGTTGAACTATGTACTATGTTCTGGTCTTTAAAGTTTTATTAAACTAATTAAGTTTCTCTGTTTTTAAATTGAAGCAATATCTAGTTCTTTTGCTAATTTTATTTTATCTAAAATATTTAGGTTCCATTTTTATTCGTTATCTTATAATTAAAAAGAAAGGGAAGTTTAAAATTTTTTTTACATTTATTTATTAAATTCAATTTTATTAATAAAAATGTCATTAAAAATATTTGGTCATATTCAAGTAATTATAATGTACTTGTAATTTATTTTTTCTTTTGTGAAAATACGAATCAAAGGTAAATGTTTTCATTCTTTTTTTTTTTAAAAGCAACCTTCAATAAACCTGACCTTTTTAGAAGTTTAAGTAAAGAAAGATTTTGAAAAATAATGATCGTGAATATTGATTTTGATTCTGGAAAAAAAATTCTTGGGTAGAGAAAGTCTTTAATCAAATATGGGTCTAAATCTAATTATAATAACAATGTTATGTTTTAAATTTCTTGACAGAATAAAAAACTAGAGCTTCTCAAACCAGGATCTCTGCAATATCTGGGGGAGAATATGACGGCTTTTTTGCTCCAATGTTCGTCTATTAACCCTATACTTGATATAAAAAAATAAAGCTTTGAATTTTAAAAATATGATATTTTATTTTAGACTTCTAAAAAATATATTTATTTTAACCCTACACTCAATAAATATAATACTTTTTAGTCTTCTATTACTTTAGAGACTGAAAGTATATCTTTTCATGGGTTAAAATAAATAAATGAATAAATTGTAGTCTAAAATATAAATATTGTGTTATTATAGATTCATATGTTTGGATCTCATGAAATAAGGGGTGATGATGTATTAAATAAAAAAGTATGGTGCAGTATTTGTTATGTATTAAAATAATGGAGAGGACACGTGTTGCTCTCTCTTTTGTGATTGTATTATTGGATTGCATTATTGTTGTGTTGCCAACTTCACACATTGCATTAATTAAATTATAAAGAATGGATGATAATTTTTTTTTTTTTCAGTTCCAATCAATGAAATATATGATCATTTTTTCCAAGTTGCCAATTTTCCCTCTATAAGGGGAAATCTTTCCATGAATGTTTATTATTCACGGAAATGGTTAAAAAACACTTAGTTAACTACTCTTCAGTTCCGACTTGTTTCTAAGTTTTTTTTTTTGTTTTTTTTTTACATTTATATATATTTGTTAAATTTTTCTAGGCAAAGAATATAAATCATGGTTAGTACCAGATTTAATGAGATATACAACTTAATTATTATTTTATTTATATTTTTTTTACTAAAAAAATAAAAATATATAATATAGTTTGTAAAATAATTGTTATTACTGTGACCAAAATGATAAATATCATATTTTAATATAATTTTTGAAATAATTTTCAGTAATCAAGAAAGTTTATTAATTTAAAATATTAAACTTCTTTCTTCTTTCATCCTATTTTATTTAATGTTTTAGAAAATAAAAACTCTCTAATTATGATTTCATTTATAATATCAATAGCGTATTAATATTTTATTATATCGTTAATCATTTATTATAGAATGAGAAAAAAAAGTTTATAATACATTAGTAAATTGTATAGCATTTGTGTGAAATATAAAATATTAATTATATCTTATAATTATTATATCAAAACCTTAAACATCATATAAAATTGATTTTTTTACTAAAATAATATTATTATATTATATATATACTTAACAAAATATCTGAAACTTTTTTTCTGTTGTACTTGAAATTAGGTTTTTCATAAACTGAATTCCAACTTTAAAATAAAAGTTAAATAAAAGATATAATTAAAAATAATAAAAATAATATAAAAAATAAAATTTTAATTTTAAAATTTAAATAATATTTATATAAAAAATAATATATTATTTAAATATATATTAAATTATTTAAATATATTTAAATAATTATTAAAAATATAAAATAATAAATTTTTATTATATTTTTATATATATATATATTTATTTTTGAATAGGAAATTTAAAATTTATATATATTTTTATTATATGAATTATTTAAGTTATAATTTTAGAAAAAAATAGAATAAATAAAAAATTAATTTAGGTAATATATTAAAAAATTAAATATTATATTATAAAAAATTATGTAATAGTTTTTATTTGATAAATTATAAATATTATATTAAAAAATTCATGCTAAAATTATTGTTTTTAAATAATAAAGTAAAAATATTATTTAATTAGTTAAAAATTATTATTATTAATATAAAATAAACTTAAAAATAAAAAATAATAAAAATTGACAGAATTTAATGTATAATATTAAAATTAACATAATAATTGATAATAAAAATTGAAAAATAAAATTATTGACAATGTTAAGAAAATTTTTATCTCAAAAATGGTGTCCAGTTCCACAACGAGGACAACCTCTATTACGTTTTGAATTTCGTCGATGGGGTTGTTATTGAATTTCGGGAGAAATTTATGGAGGGTTTTCTTCTTCATAAACCTTTATTATTTTCACTTTATAAAAATCTTTCTACCTTTATTATTTTTCTTTAATATCATGTTCTATAATTTTTATTTTGCTACTAATAAATTATTTTTAATTTTACTTTTAATATTTTATATATTAAATTTATCAATTTTTTTCTAAAATTATAACTTAAATAATTCATATAATAAAAAAATATATAAATTTTAAATTTTCTATTAAAAAAAAATATAAATATAATAAAAATTTATTATTTAATATTTTTAATAATTATTTAAATATATTTAAATAATTTAATATATATTTAAATAATATATTATTTTTATTATTTTTTATATAAATATTATTTAAATTTTAAAATTAAAATTTATTTTTAATATTATTTTTATTATTTTTAATTATATATTTTATTTAATTTTTTTATTTAAAAAAATTGGTAAGTTTAAAGTTGGAATTCGATTTACTGAAAAACCTAATTCTAAGTGCAACAAGTAAAAATGGTTTAGTTAAGTAAATAATTTTATCAGATAATTTGTTAAGTATATATATAATATAATAATATTATTTTAGTAAAAAAAAGTCAATTTTATATGATGTTTAAGGTTTTGATATAATAATTATAAGATATAATTAATATTTTATATTTCACACAAATGCTATACAATTTACTAATGTATTATAAACTTTTTTTCTCATTCTATAATAAATGATTAACGATATAATAAAATATTAATACGCTATTGATATTATAAATGAAATCATAATCAGAGATTCTTAAAATTACTGTTTAGAATAAGCTTTTATTTTTCGAGCTTATTCTTAAAATTTTTTGAGACTTTTATTTCGATTTTATTTTTCGAAAAAAGCTTTTCACCGAATTAATTACTGAGTCCGTGCATGCTTATTTTATCCAATTCTCATAATAAAAAACTATCTCATTAGTTTATAACATTTATTACTTATTTAAACTAACTATAAAATAATTAAAAGTATTTTAATAAAAAATGTTATTAAAAGAAAAAAATGAAACGTATAAAAGGTTCATATACAAAGATAGTTTACCAAGATGAGAGGATAAATTAATATATTTGTGGCAAAAACATTTTCCCTACCCAGAAATTTAACTCTTTACTCTTTATATTAACTTATTTTCCTAATTTACTTTTTCTTCCATGTACTTTTACAATGATATGCAAATTTGACACTTGCAATTTATTCTAAACTAATTTACTCAATTTAGAAACACCACTAGGGATGGCAAAACGGGCTAGGCCCGGCGGGCTGGCCCGCCAGCCCGCCATAATATGGCGGGCGGGTTGGTGTTTTCAGCCACCAGCCGCTTTGGCCCGCCCGCCAAGCTCGCCAACCCGTCAGGCCAACTCACGGACGGGCGGGTCAGCCACGACTCGCCAAATTAATAAAAAAATATTTTTTTATTATAATAAAATTAATTATAAAGATAATATATAAAGTTAAAATTTTTAAAAAGAGAATTAAAAAGTTTCATTCTCACAAAAAATATTCTCCTTCCCGAAATATAACCTTCTCTCCCGTTCTCCTTATTTATCCTAAGTACTAATTATATTTATCCTTATTACTTGAATTAAAGGTATAAGAATTACTCAATCAAGTATAATACGAAGTTTTATCAAATAAAAAAGATATAGGTATTTGAATTTTTCAATATAAAAAATATAAATTTTATAAGTTTAACGTTATTTTTATATATATATATATATTTGTTATTATTTATTATTATGTAAATTTTATTATATATATATATATTGAATTATTAACAAACAAATAATAATCTTATTATTAAATTTATTATAATTTTTTTTTAATTATGGCGGGCCACCACTAGCTCGACAACCCACCCTCAGCGGGCGGCTAAGGTCTACAACCTATCATGACTATATCTAGCTAGCTCGTCCCGTCCCGCTTTGGCAGGCCAAAGCGGCGGACTAAAACGGCAGGTCGACCCGCTTTGCCATCCGTAAACACCACTAATTATTTGGTGAAAACGTCTTTTATATTTTGGTGTTTTCACATTTTTCATACATTAAATTAAAAAAAATGTATACTTTTTTATAAAATATTAAATTTAATCCTCTTATTTTTTAATTTAAAGTTAACAGAGTTAAGTTATCTGTTTGTCAATATATTTAATATTTTAGTAAAAAAAATATTGTTAGGATAAAATATCTCCTAAAAATATTAAATAATACTTATATATAGTATATTTTATATTCTAAAATTTTATTAAAATTGACATATTTACATAATATTTATATTTATATAATATATATATATTTATGAGATTGATCATAATTATATGTTTTTTTTTTTTTTTACTTATATTGACATTGGCGATGAAAAAGAGTATTCAAGTTGAATAACTATCATTCTCTCTTAAAAAAAAAGCATGAACAATTTTATCTTCAACGTTGCCAAGTGCACATGGTGATATAGATGTATACTCATAATACGGTTTGGCTCGATCTTGAGTGCCACTATCTCGGTCAAACTATCTCTATTTATGTGTTCTGCAAACCAACAGCATACAAGACATTCTGCTCCAACTCATAATTCATCCGGCGTATATTTTTTCGATTTCCTTTCACATCCACCTACGCAGGTTCTTTCTCACATAATTTTTTCTCCTTTCTCAATCTACATATTACTATATAAATCATGTTTTTTCTCGTGACTTTATATGCCCAATTCGTTGACTTATAATTGGTATAATTTGGAGATAAACATATACACGGGATCAAGTTTATTTTTTCTCCCTCTGGGTTGTGAAATTTGTATGCAGTTTTGTGTTTGGCCAATTGGATATTCTTATTTGCGTTAAAGTTGCATTATGGGTTTCTAGCTAATCTTGCTTTGTCTTGTGCAATTGGGCTTAATTTGTGAACCCCATCTGAGTCTCTTTTTTAAAGTTGCATTGATCAATGAATTAGTATTTGCCACCCCAATTTTCTTTGTGGGAAGCTGTTGTATTGGGACATTGTACTGATGATAAGGCACTTTCTTTTTCACAAGCTTGAGCAGGTAATTTGCCCATAGAGTTTGTTTGAGATGAGGCAGAGGCGTGAAACTGGTTCAGCTGCATCTAATGAGTCAATCAGTGGAGAAGCCGGTGAAACGTCCAGTGATGGTGCGGAAATCGGCACCGCTGTTCACATTGGAAACCCAAGGAGGTCTTCATCTGTGTGGCTGGCCTTGTTGCTGATTATCATTTATTGCTGTTCCTCCATTTATCATTATCAGTTTCAGAGCATGCCAGTGCCTCTTACAGCAGAAGAGGCTGGCAAGAGAGGTTTTTCGGAGATCGAAGCATTCAAGCATGTCAAGGCCTTAACTGAGGTGGGCCCTCATCCAGTTGGTTCTGAAGCTCTGCATCTTGCTGTGCAGGTCATCTTCTCAACTTTGTTAATATTTTCCTTCATTGTTTTTGTTCTTACTTCTAACTTTTCCTCGATTCTTTGGATCACAAGCATCACGAGTACAATGTTGTGGACTACATAAATTTTCTTCTAAAGGAAATAGATAAAAGGACATATGGCAATCAATTCATTGTATAGGGATACCTGTAGGGTGGGGTGGGTGTGAGTATTACTTTCACTCTATCCGTCCCCATTTGTGTTAGCAGGTATCCATTAGGGTAGCCAGCATCTATGATATCGATGAATATCTGTGAATTTAAAAATCATACAATGAAGATATCATTCATGTTACGTTAACATCATAT